TTTCCTTCGTTTCACGAGCATCGTCCTGTTAGAAGAAAAGATGCAATTTAGTCATACCCACCTGCAGGTGATTCATTTTTAAATATGCTCGGTTTTCGGCGATTCCTACATCTACTCGCTAAGATTCGACTTTGCATAGAGATTTCCTTTGTTTCACGAGCATCGTGCTGTTAGAACAAAAGGTGCAATTTGGTCATACCCACCTGCAGGTGATGCATTTTTGAATGTGCTCGGATTCAGACGATTCCTGCATTTTCTCCCTAGGATTTGACGTTGCAGACTGATTTCCTGGGTTTCACGAGAATCGTCCTGTTAGAAAGAATTTAGCTATTCGGTGATACCCACCTGGAGGTGAGGCATTTTTAAATGTGCTCTGATTAAGGCGTTTCCTAAATCTGATCGCTAAGATTCGAATTTGCATGGAGATTTCCTTCGTTTCACGAGCATCGTGCTGTTAAAACGAAAGATGCTTTTTGGTCATACCCACCTGCAGGTGATTCATTTTTAAATGTGCTCGGATTCAGGTTTTTCCTGCGTTGTTATGCCTGGATTCGACACCGCTTTGAGATTTCTTTGGTTTCACGACAATCGTGCTGTTAGAAAGGATTTTGCTTTTCGGACATCCCCACCTGCAGGTGATGCATTTTTAAATGTGCTCATATTTCGGCGATTCCTTCGTCTTCTCGCTAATATTCGAATTTGCAGGGAGATTTCCTTTGTTTCACGAGAATCGTGCCGTTAGTATTTTCTTTTTCACATTTTTCTGCATTTTTATATATGCTTGAATTCCTGCTTTTCTTATTTCATCTCGCTATTATCATCTTTCCTCTCTCGTTTAGTAATTTTAACGACATAATTTTGTGCTGATGTGATTCCCACCTTCTGGTTATTCATTTTTAAATGTTTTTGATCCTTTGCGATTCGTCCTACCACCTGCTACCACCTTTGATAGTGAACGTGTTTCAAGCTTTGATGTTTTGTCAAGTTTAGCCTAAAGGGTCTTGTTCAAGTGAATTCATTTTTATGTGTTTCGGCCGTGGTTTGAGCTGCGTAACAATCATCGTTCGAGAGATAATTCTGGATTTCGATGACATTCAACGAAGTGGAAGTTATGATTTGTCACCTGGACTTCGGTTTGCCTGAAGATTGAGATCCTTTCATGAGCCTTAACCTGTTTCATTGTCGCATGTTTTTTTTCCATTTGACTTTGTGAATATTTCTATTGTTATTGTTTTGTCAAAACTGGAAAATATTACTTGGGACGTGTCCTCTGTTCGTATTAGTCTTACATAGACTTTTTATTATTCCTCTTGCTGTCATTCTTCCTTGCTGCCAAATGTTGTATTAATGTAATGTAGAATCGTGAGAAAGGAAAACATTTTGTGCTTGTGATACTCTTGCTTGTTTGTTTTCTTAATATGGTATAGCAAACGATTTTATTCATATCTTCACACTTTTGTGGAAATTGTTAATTGTTTGCCTCAATAATTTTGCTGCCTCAATATTTTTTCATCTATTCAATTATATACTGGTATCTGCTTTTCCTTTAGATTTCGTTGTTATATTTTGATTAATCACCGTACCCCGATGATTTTTTCTTTCATTTGTTTCGTGTAAAAATACGAAATTTTGTCCCTCTGATACTTTTCATCTTGCGATGGGTTTTTTCATTGTTTTGATTTATCCTGTATGCGATATATCGTCTAACCTGCAACTGTTCATCATTTTAGCCAAATAATGAATTCTTTTCATCCTCAATATACTGTAAATTGTCTGTACTGGTTTTATCTGGCAGCGTATTTTCAAAATTAAAATGTTCTTCACAGTTCGATGTTATTATGTTCCCATTCATCATTGCAGCCTTTTGGTGTGCGTTTCTCGTTCATCACGTTTCATCAATGCAGCCGTCAAGCTATTGTTATTGTTACATTTTTATTGTTAAAATATTTTTGTAAAGGTTATTCCCTTATTCCTGCATTTCCCAAAATGAACATATTCATCTGTTTCAAGGTGGTATCTTTTATTATCGTAATTAATTTAAGTTTGCCTCGTATCGTAATAATAAGAAATATTATTAGCCCTCATGATTCTATGATTTTTGCTAGCGCATGCTGAGTTTATTTTATGAATCGGATATTGACGCTTTAGCTTTCATATTTTAACGATTCATCATGGCTGCCAGATATATAGTGTAACGTTTACGATTATCGTGCAAATGGGATAATTCTGCAACATTGTGAATCAGTGGTGCTTGTGATGCAACTTTAAAAAATGAGCGGTTCTTCATTAAATCAGCTGTCCCTTGCTGCTTATATTCATCGTAGTAAAAATGAAGGTTTTTTTGCCCGTACCGTACTCATAGGAAATATTTTATCATGTCACGACTCATTTTCGCAGGGAGGAGGAATTTTCACGACAAATGATGAAATAGAAAAGTTTTTTCGTAATTGACCCGCGTGTCTAGCTTTTCATCGTGTCATCCTGTCAGAGTTTTCATAACATTTTATTGCGATTTTGCGTTCTATTTGTTCCCATGCATCTTGGCCGCCAAATTGTGCAAGTTTTACGAATATTTAGCAAATAAAGAAAATTTGGCGACATTTCCTTTCAGGAAATTATGCATTGAAAAAACATTGCGAAGAAATATGTTCGCAATTCAGCTGTTGCTTCACTACGATTCTCTGTCATAGTGAATAGAACTACTTTTCACGATTATTCTATAATGAGGATAATCTTTTTCCTGTAAGATGTATCCGTTGTCTTTCGATGCATTTTTGAAAATGAGCGGATTTTAAAAAATCAGCTGGTTTAGCACGATTTGGATCTGTCCATGGTGTCAGATGTGACATCCGGAGTAATATTTTTGGAATACGAAATGTATTTAACTATATTATGGCTGACAAATCAGCATATAAATTTTGTAACAATTTGCTTTGGGTGGTGAATGAAAATTCCATAATCACAAGTCTTGCACTCTCTCTTATGTTATATAGTAGGTGTACCTATGTGCAAAGAAAAGTGTCGGACGTGACATTTCGTGAACCTCAAGTTTACGTCACTTATACTAATGTTCACATATCTGTCATCGAGCGGATCCTAACAATTAGTTTCATGTCCATCCCATAGATCCAGGCGTTCATTCCGAACGCCTGGAATTAGTGTAAGTCACCACAAGATGAGAACAGTTGAAACAGAAAATAAGCCTATTTTGTGATGGTGTGTTGTAACGAGAAGTCTGTACATATATATGTATTTTATTTATTTATATATAATTCAAATGTCAACAATTGACATCTACTCTTCACACCTGAGCTGATTTGAAATTATCAATATGCATGGAAAGCCCATGCTGGCATCTCTTCCAGTAGTCTAATTCAGTCTCTCCAGTTGTGCATTTTCATCACATTTTTTTTGTATCATGAGAGTCGAATGAATACTATATCATAATTATGTCTAATTCTTTCAATTTTCAATGTAATGTTTTCTTTCACCCATGTCTTCTAGGAAAAGAGATGACGAACTTCTGTAGCGAAAGTGAAATTTGCATATTTAGGAAAATTTCCGGCTAAAATTCAAGGACCACTTGGCGTGAACAGGCCCATTTATCATTGAAACTTGATGCAGAATGTTTCACGAGTGTCGTGTAAATAGGTTATACCGGGTGCCCCCAAAAAAGTCCTGAACTTCGTACGACTACAGAGGGGACACCATGCTAAGCATAGTCTTGAAATTTTCAGTGTATCATACAATATATGTAGATGGTTTAAGGAAATTTTCAATTTCTACAGAAGTTCGTCATCTCTTTTCCTAGAAGACATGGGTGAAAGAAAACATTACATTGAAAATTGAAAGAATTAGACATAATTATGATATAGTATTCATTCGACTCTCATGATAAAAAAAAAATGTCCCGGAATTTACACGCCTGCAGACGGTATACTTTATTAGTTATCGACAGGAAATGTATAGGCTTTTACGTGCAATATTTGCAGGTAATGGAACAAAAATTTCATTGAAATTGGTAGTAAATTACGTTATAACTTTTCTCCCGCGCGATGTTAAAAAATTGATTGTGCTTGACCTAAATGAAAGAAATGTTTGATGGAATCCTCCATGGATGTGTCCGAATGTGTCCGACTGAGGCAGCGCGCCGCCAAACGCACTGTCACACTTGCTTATTCTACGACTTGCACGGAAAAAGCTCTTACTCATGTTCAGAGCAGGGAATTTAATTGAAAATTTCCTTAAACCATCTACATATATTGTATGATACACTGAAAATTTCAAGACTATGCTTAGCATGGTGTCCCCTCTGTAGTCGTACGAAGTTCAGGACTTTTTTGGGGCCACCCGGTATTTTGAGTCCTCATTGGAAATTACACCTGTATATGCAGAGTTAGGCAAAAGTCAAGCACCCCCCTTTAATGTTACTAACTTTTCAACTCAATATCTGATAAAGATGCTGTTTTCGCCATTCGAAAGACGAGACAACTCTTCATCTAAAGAATAATCTTTGCTTTCTTTTGGCGAAGGTATCTTTCGGAAATGAAATTCCTATTCTGGGGATTATATAATGGCATTGGCATCTGAAAACACGCTTGTTGTACCATGTACAATTGTCCGTTTGAGTGTCAGTGTTATTGTGCGTCAGCTATGGTCAATTCCAATTTAAGTATTGACAAAGATGGTCCTAAGATCTAAGTAAGGAGTACCTAAAAGTAAGTAACGCTCGACCTCGACACGTGGTATCCACATGGTTGTTATCACCTCTCAAGTACCTTGATACCTTGATATCTGATGTGAAAATCTATTGATTGTGTTCTCTCATTGGTCAATTAAAATTGACATCCATTTCCTGTCTCTCATGCTTCACTTATTAGAATGACATAATCACATCTCCGTTTCCTTTTTTTTATTTATGAATACCATACTGTCCCTCGGAATACATGGTTAAATTGTTCCGAATCTGTGACAACCCTGTAGAGTGATGTCATTCAATATGTCTACTCGCAGTTGGAACATTGGAACACATGTGCCTTCGGTGATCCAATCCAACTACTGACAGCCTCAAGCCCTGACGGCAATGAACCCAGCAAACGAAGTTTCGCAAGGGATTCGGTACATAGTAGCCGAAGAGATGAGTGATGAAATTATCACGAAACGTGAGATTGCTCTTCATCTCTTGCGAATCGGGATAGGATGTGCTATTTCATATATGACCATCAAGATTATGATGAAGTACTTAGATCCAACTCGGCAGCAGAAGCAGGAGGCAGCCCGAAAGGCAAAGGAAATCATGAAGAGACTTGGGATAAACCGAGATGTGAAGGTAGGCTCTGATCAAATGCCATTATCATTCGCATTCCGAGGCCTATGATGAGCAATGCATTGGTTGAGCCAAAAATAGGTCTAACTTTGAGGCGTGAAGTGACCCAGAGGTTTTGCTTTGCATCTGCAGTTTTCAGAGCATGAGCTGGCCATTGCCAGTCAGCTTGTGGAGCCTTCCACAATTCAGACCAGCTGGAATGACATTGCTGGTTTGTCAAGTATCATTGAAGAGCTCCAGGAGACACTCATCATTCCAATCGCTCAAAGAGAGAGGTTCAAGGGTTCCACGCTCATCAAGCCTCCGAAAGGTTGGTTTTCATCTTTTGTGGGCTTTTCAAGTGCACAAAATCTTGGTTAGGCCTAAGTAACACAGTTTCAGAGTGGTGTGAATTCCTTAGCCATTGCATTTCTTCAGAGCCTAGGCCCTCCATGATGAATGAATCAGAGATGGAATGGGCTTGCCAAGCATGTGAACCACATGAGTATTGTGAATGATTATATCTACTTTAAAAATAAGTACTGTCATTTTCTTTGCAAATTGGTGTCCAAGTGCTCATTGGGCACTTATCAACTGATAAACAATGTACCTAAGAATGTCAGGATTGTTTATATTATACATGCTAATGTGAAAATGTCAATAGTGGTCCACTATGGTACTCTATCCTGTCAATATTGAAATTGAGAACTTAATGAAGGTGTATCAACCAGTTTTGCACGAAATCAGTGACAGCTTGCTAGGGAAGACAAGGCATGACCTCTGCAAAGATTCTCAGGTGGCACTTTCTCTTGCAATTTAGAAATATGCATTACAGTGTAAAATACCTGATTGCCATTGGATTTGTATGCATAACAATTTATGCAAAATGAGCTAAGTGCAGTGTCTGACAGTTGACTCCTGCCCAGAATTGTGGATGGGAAGCTAAAGCCTGGAGGCATCCCCTGGCTCAGAGCAAATCCATAGGGGTATCATGTAGCATATGCTAAAGAGTAGTGTATGACAGTAGGGAGGCTGGCCTAACTGCTTCGTGCATGAGTGGGTTCCTGCTAGGAAGTGCTAGCATCTCTTTAAGTTCTTTTGCCTCAAGTAAGGGCTGCTTAGTCATCTAAATTTGTATTGGCAACATATATATATGCAGTTGCCATGGATGAAAAAGACTCTTGAAGTATTTTACCTAATGATGATATTCACTAGTTGAGCAAAATGTGATATTGTTTTAGTGAAGTTCTAAAACTTGTGTGGAGAATCATCAGACTGGTACTTTTCTCCTCAATGTCAAAATTGTCTACCCCTCACTCATGCATTCTTGACAACTGTTGAGAAAGTTGATAGGGGGCCTAGGTTACTTACTTTCATCCGTAACTTGCTAATGTTGGATTCATGCCTTTTCTTACTTCTTTTTTTACCCGCATCCTGGGGTGTGGCTTCCCCCTGGGAAGGAGCCTAAAACTACTGCCATTCATGAAGTCATGGTCACAGACCAAACCTTTTGTGTATCAGTGGTGAAGTGCATTCTCCCAAAAGGACAAATAGAGTAGCTTTGAATACCCAGCCATGACTTTCTTACTTCATATATTATGAACACCATTGAATGTTCTGTGATTGCAGGTGTCTTGCTGCATGGTCCTCCAGGATGTGGGAAGACAATGCTGGCTCGTGCAACAGCTAGAGAAGCTGGTACAAGGTTCATCAACCTTCAGGTTTCTATGCTAACAGACAAATGGTATGGAGAGAGTGAGAAACTTGCTGCTGCTGTTTTCACTCTTGCCAAGAAGGTTCAGCCCTGCATCATATTCATTGATGAAATAGGTGAGAATGCATTTTTGCATCTTGCCTGGTTATACTCGTATTTGGAATTGTTAACTGGAATAAGCATTTAGTCACTACTGAGTTGCATGAACATGCTTTCTTCAACTCAGAGGTATGGGTCTATATTCATGGATTTGGGTAAAAGTCAGGAAGAAATATGTATATTAATTCAACAAATGTCGAAATTATCCTTCAAGAATGGATTGGGTGGTAAGTGGGAATAAATGACTAAACTTGGACATATTTTAGGAGGCAATTTGGCCACTGTTAAAATTATTTCCTCTGAAGTCTGACATTTGTCTTTCCCTATCATGAATTTGCTTATGTGAAGTGAAGAATTCAGTTTTTTTCAAAGCTTTATAGTGTCTCACTTGTTGGTAGAACTTGTGCTGAGGCTTTTTTTTTCCAATTCATGTATACAACTACTCAACTGCTTGGTTTTTTTTTAATGTTCATATGCAAATGTCTTTCTTAAAGAAATTTGTTTAAAATTTATTTAAGGAAAACATATACCTAGTCCTGCCATAAATACTGTTACAAGGTTTTTTTTGTTATAACTCTTTTCATATAAAACATACGCTGTATTTGCTAACAGCATTTATTTCCCTACATAATTACTAACATATTACAGAAACATTATTCAAAATGTCCACCCCTGTCCTTCACACATGACTTTAAATGATCAGACCACTCATCCATTGCAGTACGCACCACTTCCATTGGATATTGGCTGCTGATTTTGCAAGGGCTCGCTTGAGACTTTCAATATTTGGTTATCTTCTGTGGTTGGCCATCAGCTCCAACTCTGCCCACAGTTTGTTGTCCAGTGGGTTCCCAGATGGCCAATCGGAGGCCTTGATGAGCTCAGGGACATTGCTGGCTAGCCACTCCTGCGTTGTCCTAACCTTGTTAGCAGGTTCGGAGTCTTGCTGGAAGATCCAGTTGCCCCCATTGAACATTGTTTAGCTGAGAGGCTTCACTGACTTCTCTAAGACTTCTTCCTGGTACACTTTGGCTGATGTCTTGACTTCTTGCTTGCAAAAATGCAGCTTTGTGACACCCTCATAACTCATCCCCCACCAAACCATGACAGAAGCAGTATGGCGACCTCTCTCCACCTTATGGATGACTTCTGCAGCTTCCCGAGAGTTGTGGGCATACACTTGGCCATTTGGCCAGTTGAATTTTTCTTCAACAGTGAAGATTTTCTCATCAGTAAAGACGATTTTGTGGTGTCTGTTTTGTGCATACCTCTGCAGCAACACTTTCGATCACAACCTCCTGATTTCTTTCAGAGATGGAGTCATCATGTGTCCTGTGCTTCTTCGATAAGCATCCATCCTTAGGTCTGATTTAATCAACCGATACATGCTTTTAGTCGAGATGGCCATTTCCCTGGCCATCACTTTCTGGTTGCTTAGAGGATTTCGCTGAATCCTGTTGCTAACTTCTTTGATGACTCATGGTGTTCTGGCAGTGGGTGGACATCCAGTTCTAGGGCGGACTCGTACTCCTTGGGTATCATTGTAACGTTTGATAGCTCGGTAAACAAACTGCCGACTGATTCCAAGTGGCTGCAAAGTCTTGAAATGATTGCAGGTTTCTGACCCACTTTTTGCAGGGCAATCATTGCTATGCAATTCTCTTAGTCACCCCACTCCATGTTTACTGCATGCAACACAGCAGCCAAAATGTTACCAAACAATACGGCAGATAATACACTGCACGATTACTAGGTTACAAGTTTCTAGCTTCTTTCGCTAGAATGCAAGGAACATGTAAATGTTGTAACAGTATTTATGGTAGAACTAGGTATATGCCTTAAGCAGATATGAAATAGTTAAGCATGGACAGATACATGTACCCTAATCACCTGAAGTCATTGAGAACTCCACATATTTTTTACTATTTGAACCATCTTTTATGACAAGATTTAATTAAAGATTGATGACATGGAAGTTTTTGTGTGCTTTATAGATTGCTTTCTTCGATCTCGTGATGGAAAGGACCATGAAGCAACAGCTATGATGAAGGCCCAATTCCTCTCCCTCTGGGATGGGTTGGCCAATGATGAAGAAAATATGGTGGTCATTGTTGGAGCTACAAATCGTCCACAAGACATTGACCGGGCCATTCTTCGTCGCATGCCAGCTGCCTTCCAGATTGGATATCCCGTCTGTATACTACTCATGTTTTCATTAATTAACTTCCATTGTTGCTGTTGCCATTGGTAGGCATTTGAGAAAATAGATGTACAGTGGATTGCGATAAAAGAAAAGACCAATGCCTTTTAACCAATATATCTCTGTCACCACTTGCACCATTTTCACAAATTTTACTATGTGGATGTATATGTTTCCAACTTATCTTCTAAATTTCTTACAAATTCATTGCTCTTAAGCAGCACTTATCAAAAAGAAGTTGATTTATGAAAGTGGATGAGTACTTTGGGTTGTTAACAAAATGGTGGACTTGCCTTAGTGCTCTGCTTCCATTTCATGTAGGCCACACCCAACCTCTCATCCATTGAACTTCACGTTTTGGGCTGTCCTTTCCTGCATGTTGATTGATTGGAATACAGCCTACTAAAACTTTGACAGGTGAATCAATAAGTACCAAAACATGGCTTTCTCAAAGTTAATGGAGATTTTAGCCATAGATACGTCACTGCCTGAACCTCTCACATGGTTTTGGTAGAAGATTGTGGCATGAGGCTGATATACTGAGAAGGGATCAGAGTCCCCCTCCATCTTCAATTTCCAACTTCTTTTTGAGTTATTGCTTATTGCCTCTCTGTGGCCCTATGAATTTGGATGACCTGTCATTTGTGTGTTAGGAACATATCATTCTATAAACAAAAGTGCATGTTTCATAATCATTTTTCCAGTGAGAGCAGAGATATGCTGGTTAAAAGTAATAGGTCTTTCATTTTGCCATAGCCTGTATATTGTGATTAATTTTGTATCGCTTTTTTTCTTTAACACGTTGACGACCAGCCTATTTTTGCTTGTCCGTCGCGTGGGACCACGCGCATTTTTTTTGTCAAGAAATGCATCCTGCCATCAGGACGCATGGTCCCAGAAAACATTTTTTTTTGCTGAGTTTTTTTTTAATGTTGAGTTTTTTGGAATTTTTATCAGTAATTACGAATTCATAATCTTCTGGAACGTTCTCAACAGTTCCAGAGGGCATTCATTGAAAAAAAATCTGCATCCTGGCATCAGGACGCATTGTCGCCAACGTGTTAACAGGTTAAACATTTGCCTCTGAAGATTGTCCATTTTCTAAAAGAATTTTTATGCCTGTACTTGGATACAAGATATTAACAGGCCAATGTTTAGTTAATATTTTTCCGGCTATTATGGCCTGTTCCTTTTTTTTTTACCTCTAAAATTGATTACTTTACCATGTCATCCGAAACCGGTGCCACTGGGACTGGAGGTACTTTTCACTATCACTATCGGGAGACTGGACGTACTTGGGTACGGCTATCACTACGTAATATGACAGGCTAAATCTAAATTGAGGTCCATAATTGTTAACGAATTTAGTTTGTTGTCCAGTGTGTAATTTTTTCATTTAAAGCTGGCGAATTATGTTTGGAATTGCCAAATTATGGAATCATTAATAGTTAGTTTTCTAAGCAATAGAATAAAATCAAACTAACTGCAGAACTTGGAATGATCTATCATTTCCTGAAAGAATCATACCTCTATCTGAAATCCAACAAAATGTATTGTAGGTCAAAGTTTGGCAAAACTTGAGAATGTCTTAGTAAGTTTAAAATATATATTTAAAAATTGCGCAGGACATTTTTAAAAACAAAGTTATCACTACCGAAAGCTGGCTAACCTAGTGGAGCGTGAAAGAGACCCAAAGCTGGCTTCATTACCAGTCTTTCCATTTAATAATTTTTGCTGTTGAAATTTTTTTTTTCATTTTAACCATTTTGTGGTATTTTAATTGAGACCCAGATAAAGTTATGAAATGAGTCATTTCCAAGAGTTCAAGCTTAAATAAGCGCCATAGTATTTTTCACTTGATTAGGCATTTCTCCTCTTGACTCAGGCACTCTTGTACGATGAATATTCCATTCGCCGGTGTCCAAGTGTAGTGAGAAATTGTTTGACTCTAGCAAAAAACACTACGAGGTATTAACCTACTTTCAAGCTTGAGTGTTTTTGGAGATGGTACTTTCGTTGGAGGAGAGACAGCCCATTCTCGCTCAAATTCAAGGGGAATTCCTTGTAGTCACTTTGACCTTGATAGTTGACATTTTGGATTCATCAGTTTAAAGTTCAGTGGTTTCTATTGTATTTTAATGACTGTTCTTTTGCATCTTACTGTGATGCTAACAACTTTTGAAAATTTTCACCACTTTACATGAAATTACCCCATAGTTCTAATACGACATGATATAGTTACAACCGTTTTGAAAAAAAAGGGTGATGGGAAAGAATTAGGTATGATAGGTTTCGCGATGTGTTTTATCAACAGACCAACGGCTGCAGTGAAGAGAGAATGAACGCGCATGCGTGCCTTGGAGGAGGCAATTTCAACTCGCAGAAATTTTCGCTTCCCGGTAGCGCCTGAAATTGTTACGTTGCTGGGTGTCTACCATAAAAAAAATAGCGACCTGGATCCCTAGAATGGGACATTTTCCACATTGATTGATGAGTTGGAGATTCGTAAGTCAAAGCCCGACCTGTGACGCGAAAAATAAGACTCGGCCAAATCGGACAGAGCATGCGCCCTGAAGTGGATGAAAGGGAAGGACATTCTCCTCGGGAAACCTTGGGATGGGGATGCCATGCAAGTTACACGGAATACGAATCTATGATACCCCGATGGCCTCTACCTTTCAAAGCTCAATGCTTTTGAAAGGTCCCAAACCCTTGTGTAGACGGTGAAATGGAAACGTCTGAAATAGCGTCCATCAGATTAGTGTTGATGTTCATGGTGGTGAATGTTAGACAAACCACGAAGTACATGGCAAGTCCAACCTGTTCTGATCGTGGCATCCAAGAGGCTCAGATCATTCTTCAAGAGTAAAATCTACCATAACTCCAGGGAAAGAGCTAAAAGGGCTGGGCTTTTCCGCAGCGTTTTTTATGTCCGGAAAAAAGTAGTTTCTGTTATAATTTCCAATGTACTGGAACTCCATAGATGTAAATAATGGAAGTGAGTGGAGTGACGTATGGAAAATGGCAGCCTCTTGAGTTCCAGTATTGTGCGTCTGCGAGAGGAAGCACATGGAACTCACGTTCCATGGAGGTTGAACATGGTTGTGCCTTTAACCCATTCGCGTACCTAACCGTCTCCGAGACGGCCTCAATAGAAGTGTCCAGCCCGTACCTAACCGTCTGCCAGACGGGTTCGTGGCTTGTTAGTCAATGGTATGGTCGTTAGATGGCATGATAGGTTCTTTTAGGTTCTAGTAGGCTCTTATAGGTTTAGTGCGCAATGAAGAATTTTTTCGCAAATTAAATGGTATTTCACATCAACTCTTAGTAAGAAAAAAAATTATATGCGATTGGGTTAACTTAAAGTGTCATTGCATGAAACTTAGACGGCAATAATTCTCCTGCACTGAGTGAGGCCTGGCTCCTCACTGGTCTTCGACGAAAGTAAAGCTCTGGCCCATCTAAACTACCACGGAGACCACGGACATTACACCATTATGCTTTGTGTGACGAAGCATTACATTTTTCTTATTGAATACGCGTGAATAACAATACTAATAAGTTTAACCGTTATCTGACATTAACCGTGAGCCTTAGTTTCATTTTGAGATCGATACCTTTTATTGAATCGAAATCTGCCCCCCCCCTCCTCACGCTTGGGAAGACGGTGTTGGAGTCTCCTGAAAAAATGCGTGGTTCAAATGGATGATAAAGTGTACAACTTTGACTTTGATGATGATAGCTTTATAGCTCCTTAAGGCTGCTGTTCTCGAACTTAATAGAACCCAGAAATCTCAGACCTATGAATTTATCTCATTTATAGTAATTTTGTCACATTCACCCAATTCGAGTTTCTTCCCATTCGTCTGGTGTATTGAAAAACGATGCTGCATCATACCTCGTTGAAGTGTGTGCCAGGACTGACTTGTTTGGAGTGTCTTTTCAGATTGCATTCAATGAAGGCTATTCCTCCATATTTGCAAGTGATTTGACAATGATCTGAATCCTTGCAGTTTTTCCAGTGAATCTTTTCTTCCCTATGTAACATCTTCAAATTCTAATTTTTCATTGGCAGCCTGGTTCTCTTTTATTATTACTTAACATTAAATGTATTCTTATCGCTTCCTCTTTGTGTTTAAACACATTTCTATTATGAGTCTTCACTCCTAAATAGCCTGAGAGTCATAAAAAAAATAACTATAGGGTGAATCTTAAGCCTGAAAACATAGGTTTTACACTTCTCATTATTTTGCTTTAATTGTTTGTTACAGATGTTTTTCGTAGCGTGAATAACAGCCCAAACGTTGTCTTTGACACAAAAAGAACGAAGAGATGTATGGCCAGGGTTTTTTGAGAGAAGTTGCTGGAGCGATTAACCCAGTAACTACCGTTTTGGGTCCAATGGACCCTGATGCAAAAATTTCGCCACTTGTGTAGGTTGCGCCGTAAACTTGTAATGTCCGATACTCGGCGTATTTTCATGAATGTCATAGTAATTAAGCAAAGTATTTTGAAGGGATTCTTTGGGAATAAAGAGATGGGGGAAAGAGTTGAACGTATGACCATTTTTGTATGAACGTATGAGTTTTGGGCTAACAATCATCCTGATCGACATCCAATCGCACCCAGTGCAGTTGCCAAGTTGCGAAATTCAAGGAAACGGGTGATGCATAGGATAAACCACGATGTGGTCCTCCTAGGACAGCAACTGATGAGGTAACAACCACATCTGTGTTTGATAAGTTTTCCCGCTGTTCACATAAGTCAAAAAGGAAAATGTCCATGGAGGCAGATATAAGTCAAATAAGCGTTTGTCGCATCCTGCATACGTAATATGATACAGGACACATCCTTCTTCTTACCCTAACTTTTTAATGTAGCTTTCATTGAAGAATAGAGCACAGATTATACCTGGGTTGGGTTTCATAAAACTGACTTAAGCGTAATGAAGCTTTAAACTTAAAGTACTTGTGACGTCCAGTTTACGTCTGTCAGATGTAGTACATTGCGAGACGTCGGGATATGATAAGGTCGCGCGGATGGAATGATCCCGTACAACTGGGGACAAGTTTGGCTCTGGACAAGCAGAATGGGAACAATTGAATGACCTGCTCGCAATCCGAATCAGCTTCCTCTCCCGTGTGATTTCTTTTCATTGGGGGTACACAAGTGTTCGCTTCCTAGCCAAGGAATCTTGGCGAACTGCATGGAGCCATTTCCAAGAAAAAGGTGTTTGAATTTCTGCATCGATGATGCGAGATTCCTTGGGTCATGTTGCCTCTAGAATCAAGGAGTGCAAAAACCAAAATGGTGGCTGTGTCTAGATTTGAGGCCTTCTTGAAAAGTCGATAGCAAGCAAACTACCGAATGTATGTCGGAAGTTTCTAAAATCCTACGATGCTATCTATCTGCGGGAATAAAAGCTCTTCTTTCTGAGTTTCTCGGTTTGCGAGTGAAGAATTTTAAAATAATCATAAAAACATTCTGTGGTTCTTCTGTTGGTATTTTGTGAGAGGGAATTGACAGACTTTAATTTTCCAGAGGGAGAGAGATGGCCTAGGGATTGTGATTGTGGAACATGTGATGCCTCTCTTAAATTCGTAAACCCTTTTTTATTTTTAAGGGTTCTGAATGTTGGGTTTGTGGGCGCTGTTTTCATGAGTGCCTTGTGTTGGAATATCTAAGAGGGTCACTACGCCCTTACACTCTTTCGTTCTATTTGTATGCTACCGTCTCATGCAGAAAGGGAAAAAAAAGGTTGCATAAAAAATGAACCATAGAGGGTCATTTTCGAACAATAAATCTCTCGGAAGTCTGAGACAGGAAAAGGAGCAACTCACTCTCTCATTCGCGTGTCCGGGGAAAAGAGGGGGGGGATCAATTGATGCATGGGATATACGTGTCCAGCCTCGACCTCCCTGTCGATAATTAGAGATAATTAATTAATGGAGAAACCTTCCATTAGGCACCTTTATCGGCGAGAGGTCATTTGTCTTCTGCCCCTGACCCAAATGCATCTATCCTTCGTTCCTTCCATCCATACCCCATTCTTTTTCCCACCTTCTACTTTTTTAATGGCCTTTTTTTTTCGCGCCTTTCGATGGTTGTACCAAGTATGAATAGTAGGGTAATACTGTGTATGAGGGTCTTTCTGCTTAGGCCGGTCTTCTCGGCCTACAGCATCCAGAGGAGATATCTTAACCAATGGGCAAGAAGTCTGTGTGAAAACCGTAAACTACGTGACCCGAATGAAGGCTCGGGACAAAGAGTTAGCCTACGTGACTCATGCACCCTGTAATGATGGATGATTGAAAATTGCTGCGGATCCTTTCTAAAAGATCAGGGAACCTTCGGGAGTTGACATTGAGACCCTGTCTGGGTTATTAAGGGCGGATTGATGGAATCTCGTAACGCTTCGGAGCAACCGCAAGCCAAGACAAGAGAAGACACATTGGATCGGATCCATGATCTTTGAGGTCTCACCTTGACCTTGAAATTCCCCATTATCGAATCCCCGTTCGCCGGTGATATTTTGGGGGACTTAAATGAGGGAGGATTTGGCAAAAGACGGCGATGGTACAGAAGAGAGGGAGAGAGAGAAAGAGAAAGATGACAGAGATGAAGAGGGGGAAACCGGGTTCCCACGGTACTCGGATGTGTCTCCATGCGGTTTCATTAGGTCACACATATAGCCTACTCCCTACCCTGCACGGCATGCCTACATGTGCTCACAGCTGCTATCTTACCGCCTCCCTCCTCCCTCGTATTCTTTTTTTCTTTAACTGTCTAAAAAACTATTCCTTTTCTTAGCATCTCCCTCTCTTTGGTTTCCTCCCGCATCCGCTGCTTTCTGGTGCCGTAACTTCCTGGAATTCTGTTCCTTCCTCAGGCAACTTTTTTCTCTCTGTCGGTTTGTTTCTCACTTCCCCAGCAAAACCAGTTTCTGCCTTTTTTTGTCTTCTCTCGTTTCGGCGGTTGCCAGTTTAAGAAAGGCTGATAAAAGAAAAGGCTTCATCGTATAAATGTGAAGTTGGGAATTCTCTTCGCTGATAAATTTGTTTTCAAATTTCTTTCCATTTCTTTGTTGACAGGCGGACGAGCCGGCGAAGGACCCAGACCAGCTCTCTGATGCCCATGCGCCGGCCGCTGTAGAGACGGGGTTCAAAGGTCAGCAGGCAACTTTGTCATTTATTCCGCATACAAAGGAATACACATTATACAAAGATGCAAAAGTAGAGGATGCTGTATGGAGGAAATCATCCAATGTCGTGCCGATCCGTACAGAGAGAATCAGGGCTGATAATTTCAGCTCTTTCTCTCTCTTCGTCTGTGCTTGCCCATGCCTTCCGTGTGATCAGATATGCAAATGAGGCTGAAAATGATAGCTGTCCCTCCCTTACCTCGAGGCTCGAACGCATTCGAAGGGTGGAGGGGGGTTCAAAGGGGTTTCATCCAAATTCCAAAGCACTCACTCCTTTTTCCCCCGTTTTTTCTTCCCCTCCAGGTACAAAACTCATGGGATGCTGACCCCATCCCCGAGGATCGAGGATTCGTCTCGACTCTGGATCTCAAATTCAGTTGGTGAATCGTGTCGGGTTCTTGTTCTCCAAGCTGAGAGACAGTCTCTTCCTCATCAGGCTTATGAAGAATTTTTTTTTCTCAGCCGCCTTGATGAACAATCGTCATAAAATTTTGTGATACAACTCTTCAGTTTTCGTATCCAGAGGAGTGCTTAATAAAGTTGGCTTTGACTGCTCTTAGCTCTTTGCTTTTCACTTCTCTGATTTGGGCGGAAATCCGGCGTCCATATACGGGAATTTCTCGCTTTGGTCTGGTACGAATTGAATCTCGGTGAAATATTCTGATGGGGTGTTAAATGACGGCGAGAAATGAACAGGGTGTTGACCAGCAAAGGTACCATTTACAAAGAAGAGGGAAAAAAAGAGGAATATTCTCACGCGCTTCGACATAGTCCACGGCCGTCCGTAATGGAGCGTTTTAATGAGCCGCCCTTTCCTATTCGTTTATATATATATTTTTATTTCTTCCTTTTGCAGTCCTCGACTGCTTGATGAGGTCGTGTATGCGGTAGATTACAGCAGGATTTTCAGCCTCCGCCCATTTCCTCTCCACATTCTTTCAGGAGGCCCCCCCCCCCCTTCCTGTTCAAAGATTTCTCCCTACTTGCTAATGTCGGACGGGGGAAAAATCCGTCTCTTCGATGGCTGAAATAACGGACTGATTTCGGTCTTATTCTGAACTCTCCCTTCGCCCCGTAATGCATGCCATCTATATGGCATCATCCCAATTGTTACCTCGACTGAACGTTAAATGGGAGGTATATGTCATATAATTCACTCAAGCAAGTCTCACCTCGTTCTTGTAAAGAGTGATTATTGTGCTTGGGATCATTAGGTTTTGATAATACAGTGAAACGTGTGTGATGCGACCGAAAGGGCGACTTTCTAAGTTTGATCGGTATAGACAGACGGCCATTTTAGAAAGGGGTTTCCCCCCACCTCCATGGAAAGCAACAGGTCAATGCTCCGATGATCGGTCTCGCACTATTGAAACCGCAGAGATGTGACCTTGATGGCCAAGCGTTCAGTCGATACGAGGAAAAGAGAGAGATGACGAGAGAGGGAGGAAGGCGAGTGAGAAAACAAAAGCAACTCCGAATTCTGACTGCAAAGCTCGGAAATAAAGGAGACCGTTCTCTATTTTCATCCTGCGTTCTGACTGGACTAAAGAGAAGCCAGTACAGTGGGTCTGCAAATTCTTGACCACTGGCCTTGTTCCACAGGTTCCACTGTTTAGTTACAAGTTATTATACTCTGAGTCTGTGGAGCTAACGATTGGAACCGAGCACTTTCAGCCACGGTAGGTGGCCGGATCTAGAAGTTTCACTGTATTCGTGACGAGCAGAGAAAAAGCACGAAATTCAGAAGAACGCATTCAATTCCAAGTTCCGTAACAGCCATTGTGTGTGGCCCAATCATGTCGAGTAAGCAAGAGATTAAGGGGTCAGTCACTTAAGTTTAACTTGTAGCATGGAAATGCAGTAGCTGCAACTCTGGCAGAAGCAACTGTTGGTCCTATGTCCTATGTCATCGTGAGTTTTTTCTGCTCTTCTGTGTTGGTACCGCGCAGTGTGCGATAAGGACTTGGAAGCAATACTAAGGACTCAGGTTTGGCATGAAATAACTACTCCGTTCACCTAGGGTGACCGTGAAGAAACGGAGAGCTCGCTTTAGGAGCGTGCAACAATTATGTTAGTAAAGAGAGGATGGGGGTATTTCCTGCCAAAAATTGCTGAAGAGAGACCAAGACTGCTGACGTGAATGAGAGGGAAATGGTCAGAAAGGGAGAAATTTATCATAAAAAAGTGAAAGTTATGCATTTTTGTACTTTAACATGAGAAAAAATTTTTTACAACCCTGCGTGCGATTTCTTTTCTATCTATATGGAGACAGACCTCAGGGAGTAACTGGACTAAGAATTTAGCGAGAATTAAAGAATTTATGATACAGATATCTGAATCTCTCGTGTACTTTCCCATGTTTTTCCATTTTTACTTATATCATATTTTGTGCTGAATTTGCCCGTGACCTGTCATGTTCGCCCTCGAAGATGTGGTTAGGACCGGTAGCATGATAAATTGGGTTGGACAAGAGCTTTTCGAAGTACAAGAAATCACTTTACAGGGAAGCCCCCCGAAAAAGGAAGGGATCCATAGATGTAATTGTAACGTATAACAGAGGCACATGTGACACAAAAGTATTGTTCTGAGTGAAGTATGATTTCTCTTTATTTCCCTGAATCGGAAATTCAATATGCCCTCGGTTCTAGTCGATGGTGGCCTGCAATTGAGCGTGCCACTGTCAATCGGGCGCTACAACGAGCAGAGGGACATGGCTTGCCAGCAATTGAAAATGGTACTTTTTAAATTTTCAATGCTCTGGGTAGACATTTTCTCGCAACATTCATCATTCAAAGTGATCAACATGGTCCGCATTCCGCATTAGGACTATTGAGTGGCCAAATGGAAAGTGCAACAACGTCTGCCGCTTTGTTTTGCATCAAGCTAACAATTGTTATAGGTATCACCAATTTTTTGGAAGACAAAGTTTACGCCTGGTATTTTGAGAATGTCTGGCAAAAGATGCGAAGACCGTTTTGCGGAAAGAAAGAAGATCCTGGTATTTACTTCCTGAGAGTATCTTGCGGGCAAAATTCAACCAAAGCAAACTCCGGGGCATTAAAGATTGGAATGGAGCAATAGTCGATTCTTAGGGCCATGCCCCTCCATTCGTTGCAGCACACAATTTGACAGTACTGCCCACTTTTCCATGACACCATCGAAGAGAAAGGGGGACACATATTGAGTATTTATATTGATGCAATAAAGAGAAATTATGCATCACTCAGAACTTTTTTGTTGGATAGCTGTCATTTATGCTTGTTATAATTACATATAAAGGTAGGTGCTTCTTTTATTGGGATCACTCCGTAGATAGAAGATGAAAATTGGCCTATTCAACTCAACGTGTTCGGGAGCTGAGGTACTGTGGATCTGAAGGACGCGAGACGCAGATATTAGTATCCAGCAAATATTACTTTCAAATGAGATTTCCCCCCCCCCCCCCAGCCATTAAGTATTTTTTTATTATGTCAGCTGGTTTCTGTCCAGACCGATTCGAGGAGAAATTATTGATAGCATGCAAAAAGAAGCGTAATTGTTGCACATTCATACAGGTATGATTGAAATTCGTTCTTCGAAGATCCCTTTGTTCTGGTTTGTGTAACGGTCTTATGACTAAAATTTCTAGTGATTGATTATTATCCAAAAAAAGGAATGGAGCTGTGAAGTATTTGACGGACTCTGAACTATGTTACAGAAAGAAGATACAGTGAAAACTCGTTAACTCGAACTTTTAGGGACCGGGCAAATCGTTTCGAGTTATCCGAAGTTCGAGTTATCAGGAATCGCCCCCCCCCCAAAAAAAAAAAAAAACAAACTCACGGTGAGGAGCATAACCAGAGGGCGATTATTCCGCCATAAAAAATCCGATTTCACGACATTCCCATTATAATTAGCTTTTATTCATCTCGAGTGAAACTTTTAAACTCCATATGTAAAATTAATTTATTGCAACGCCTTTCATCTGGGGCTCTTTCGGTTTTTATCCATTTCTGACATGTAATCAATGATCTTCATTTGCTTTGTAAAAGAACTTGGAATAGAGAAGTGAAAGTCCTCCAATTTCCCTACTGCCTCGAACAAGTCGATTGGCACTGTGTGAACTCCACGTTCCCATGCTTGGCTGTCTTCATTTTCCTGCAACTTGCTGTAAATAGGCGCTTCTCGTGTGCACTCAAAACCTTATATTTTCTGCGCATAATGGTAGAGGGAGGAATCCCGAAATTCTCTGCGATGCCTTTCTTCTTCAAATGGCCTTCTTCGCCAGTCCGAATAAAGTGTACATTCTCTTCGAGCGTCAGAGCCTTCAATTTCCTCTCGAGTGGGCTCACTCCACACAAATGGCGTAAAGGAAGTAGAATATGACTAGAATGGCTCGGAGTGAGAGCGATAGACAGAGAGAATTTTTAAGGCTGCTTTTTTATAGCCGAAGCTTCTCGGTTTTAATCCTCGCCACAGGCGTCTGTGTGGGAGGAGGGAGAAGAAAAAAAAAAAAACAAAAGAACATCCTCCCGAACGTGTTTCTTGTCATTCCTCCTATTCAAAAGTATTTTTTAAAAAGTCCCAAGAGAAAAATTTTTCCCCCCTTCTCACCCTGAATTCGAGTTAACCGTGAGAAATTCGTTATCGGGAGTGAAAATTTCATTCGAGATATCCGGAAATTCGAGATAAGCGAATTCGAGTTAAACGGAGCATTTAACATGGTGTCCTACGGGGTTCCGCCGGGACCAAGCTTTGAACTTCGAGATAAGCAGAATTTCGACTTATCAGGATTCGAGTTAACGAGTTTTCACTGTACTTCAATTGAAGATGCAGATGCGCATCTGCCTTCAACGAGTCCTTATGATACTCAGACATCCGAACAAGGAACAAGGACTTTTACAGAAGCAGCAGGAATGCGGTGGCTGCGTTGCAGACATTTCGTCGGGTGAGACGCCTGGTGCGGAAATTCCGCTTCCCCGGAGCATCGGTAGCGCGGAGCTGGACTGCCCGCAATGCCGCTTCCGCATTCCAGCCGTTCTTCTAAAAGCGCTTCATGAGCTCAAGCATTGTCAGAAGGTTTAGCATGATCGTCACTTCCATTAAAATGTGCTGCACTCCATGGGATGTTGACATCGTTTTATATCCTGTATTATATACCACTTAATGGTGGCCCTCTCCATTCCCGCTGGTTTCGTTAACCATCTGAGTAACGCATGAGTAACGCGAAGAAAATGAACTTATCTGAAAACTTCTATCTTGACAAGGCTTGAATGAATGAATGGTTAGAGAAACATCTTATTTTGCTGTGAAAGATGTGCCGCTCATACGAGATGTGCGACAAAAAGATACCGGCAGTTTCCACAAGGATTTTGTGGTTTCCTGTCCTTCACATAACTCTGAGGTAGAGCTGACTCCTGTAAGGCATCGAAAATCCCCCACAGTGACGAAGCTAGTTGCAGAGTCTCAAATGACTGAAATGAAGGACCTTGCAGTGCACATGCACGGGTGGGATTCGTCTTGCACTATTGCTTTTGCATAGTATCCGAGAT